AAAAATTCATCTTTTATTCTGTATGGGTCAAACTTGCTTTATCAGTTCAAACGTTAAGCATTTGCATTGTTTCTTATTTTAGGGTTGTTTCTTATTTTAGTTTTTATTTATTTTGACAAAGGATCTTGCTGTGTGATTTATGCTGGCCTCAAACTCGGACTGTAGCCCAGGCTGGCCTTGAATTCACAGCAGCTTCTTACTTTTCCTGGTTTTTTTTTTTTTAATGTTTTTGTTTAGCAATTACTAACATTGTTGCTGTGGACGCTCCTGGGTCCAGGATTTGTGTGGGTGATACACCCATTTGCAGTCTCTGTGACTGCCCACATGGCCTGTATTAGCACAGCTACACCCACATCTTTTCTTCTGTGGTAGCAGGGATTGAACTCAGGGCCTTGTGCATGTTATGCAAGCACTTTATCACTGAGCTCCATTCCCAGCCATTTTATTTTATTTCATTGCTATAACAGGGTCTTGAGAAGTTGCTCAGGCTGGCCTAGATCTTACAATCCTCCTGCCTCTGTTTTCCAAGTAGCTGGAATTACAGGCAGGAGCCATTAAGCCCAGTTAATAGCCACACTATTAATTTCCATAATGAGGTTCAAAGAACCCAGTTCAAAGCCTAGATTCTGGAGAGAGGCTGCCTACGCTCAGAACCTAATTCCTCCTGTCTTAGTCCTGTATGATTAAGACGCATTGCAAAACCTCTGTGTCCTTAACCATGACAGCACTCCCTGTCCAGCTGTGATGAGAGCCAAATCACCCCAACCAACAGGGCGAGAAAACCTATAAGCAATAAAGGACTTAACACAAAACCCATACTATGCAAAAAAAAAAAAAAAAAAAAAAAAAAAAAAAAAATATATATATATATATATATATATATATAGATAGATAGATAGATTTAAGCAAACAAAAGTATTCAGATATCCATTTTAAGTACAAATAACAGAATCACATGACTGGTAGAGTAGAAATGTGCTAAGCTTTGTTTCAGGAAACAAACGTGGTCACATGATGATAGAATTGAACATACTAACAGGGGAGTAGACCTTAAAACTGGGCAAACATGCCTAACAGGAGGGCCCTGGGGTGGGGGCTCCCTGTGGACAGCAGGCCAGGAGTTGGATCCCCACACAGCAAAAAGACCTGGCACATGTACCAATGTTATTACCCTAGTTGTGATAAGAAGTTGCTCAAAACTCACTACTAGGAGACTTTGGACAGTGTACTTGGGATGTCTTCACATTATTTCATATAACTGCACATGAATGTGTGAATTATCTCAATCCAAATGTCAACTCACTATATATAATCTTGCCAGGTGAGGTAACGCATGTCTGTAATCCAGGCTATTCGGGGGGCTGAGTCAGGAGGATCATAGGTTCAAGGTCAGCCTGGGCAATCTAGTAACTCAGCAAGACCCTATCTCAAAATAAAAAGAAGAAACAAAAAGGGCTAGGAGTTTAGTTTTATTTAGAGGCTTTATCCATTTCTTGGGGATGTACATATAAAGTTTCTGATCCCAGAATAAACTGCTAAAAATCATGGAACTACACCCTTCTATGGGTAGCCTCGACAATTGCTCATCCTGTGGCCACTTTCTTGATTTCCACCACCAAGACCTCCCTACTGCCTTTCTGCTATGCCTTGAGAACAGATTATACATTTTTTTTTTATCGGTACCAGGGATCGAACTGACAACCATGCGCTTGCAAAGCAGGCGCTTATGCCGCTAAAATCCCCAGCCCCCAGATTATACATTTTCTAGTGAAATCACATTATTGTTCACTCGGTCCCCCTGGGAACTACAAAGACATAAAAATCAGTAAGTCCTTTCCAATAAACAGAAAGAAATGGAATTTGAAAGAAACCCTTGCAGCATTTTACTAAACCAACCCATTTGTTTGATTCTCCAGTGTGTCTTCTAAACCCCTCCCCCTTGTTTATCCTCCTCTTAAGTCCCAGAATTTTCAGAGTCAGTTTGGAACATCACTCTTCAGCAAGTATAAAATACTGAGCTCCACATTTTTCAAACTGCAGGTGGGTGGTTATTATGGTAGAACTTAACTTCCCACATTAGGCTCTCCCTATTCTACTCCATGAAGGGTGACACATGTACTTAAATATTAGTACTTAAATAAAGCTGACACAACGTACCATCCTGGGACAGGCAACCCATAACTCCATGTCACTGGGAAAGATTCTGAAGCCAGGAATCATGCAGTGTGCAGTGCAGGGATCCAGTCCTGTGAGGCAGGATCCAGCGTGCACCGCTGGTTTTCAGCTCAGGGTCTCGGGGATCCACAGCCCAGGGCTCTGTAGCCTCCCCTTTCTCCGCCTCCTCTGGCTGTCCTGCAAGCCACAGCTGTGCTGGGCAACCTCACTTTCTCACGGCGTGATGTTCACTACGTGCTGGCAGTGCGCCGAGGCAGAAACTGGCGCTCTAGACTGGGGAAATACTGTACATTTGGCAAAATCACTTGTGGTTGTGTTCTGCTGCGCCGTTTCCAAGATAACCAGCGGCTGCACTTGGCAACTGGACTCTCCCACAGTTAGGGCTGCGACTGTAAAGTTGGCTTGGTGATGCTTTCTTGCTGTGGGCGTCGGCTGCCCTGAAGGACCACGTACCAAGCAGGGTGGCAGCATCGCTGAGAAAGTGTCACTCCTGGGAACCACTACTGACAGCTGGCCCCAAGTTTTGGCCTCTCCCCACATTAGGAAACAATTATCTGAAAATACTTTACCACGTTAGTTACAGATCAAAGAAGACTATCTCTAGCAATTTAAGATATCTAGGTAAGAACACAAAATTTAAAACAACTGAGCCAGGAAAGGTAGCACATGCCTGTAATCCCAGGATCCTGGGAGACTGAGGCAGGAGGACTGCAAGTTCAAACCCAGCCAGGGTAATTTAGTGGTGAAATTTAATGAGTCTCTGTCTCAAAAAAAGGAATTTGAAGCACTTGTAGTATTAGAAAGTAGATCTAATGTTTTCTAAATATACATTCTAAAATATTAGCAAATTTTCTGACATCAAACATTCACAGCTTTGAAAGATATTTTATTTCCAGCAATTTCATAACAACTCACTAACATGGATTACAGGCAGGATGAAAACTAGTTTCTGCCAGGTGTGTCTGTGAATCATAATAAGGGTTTCATGGTGAGCTTAGCAAACAAGGAAATATTTTTCAGTAGTGGCACTTGGTTCACACCACCGTGTCAGGGTGGAGTTCTTGGAGGAATCCATAGAGAACTTAGAGCTTCAACAAGTGAAACCAAAACAACTTCAGTTTCTGTCGCCAATAGAAACCCAGCGCCCCATGCGGACTTTGGAAGTCTGTCAAGGCACTGCGGCACTTCAGCACTTGGCGGGCAGGTGCATTTCGCTGGCCCTGGAAGTGACACCGACCTGCCAACAGCTGGGACCGGGTGTCATCCCGGTAGGTAGGGCAGGACCTCACCGGGCTGCTGGCGCCTGGCAACGCAGCCCCAGCCCTGGGAAAGCCTGAAGGGGTGTGAGGCGAGTATGTGCCTTTAAACAAAGCAAGGGACTTCCCTCACAAACACTCCAGAGCCTGTCTAGTAACAGGGCCAAGGAGAACAGACCAATGGGAACTAAGTCTCCCAGTCCCTAAGGCTGGGGAGAGGGGGAATGAGAGAGCCTCTAGTATCAATGATTAAGACAAACCTAACCGCTTTTCCAAAGATCAAAATAGAGTTACAAATTAAACTACCGAGGACAAATAACTTAGGAAGTCTGATTCATGCAACAACGTCCACTACTGTGTTTTTTTCTCCCATTCACCTTCTTATCCAACGAGTACCTCCTATATTTAATCTTTCACCAACACTTCCCTGTTTCATAGTACGTTTTTTAAAAATCAGCATGTAGTGCATTAAAATTTACACTGTATTCCAAACGCACATGAAGCACACAAGGGGAGACACAAAACAGAACATATCTCCCCTCCAGTATTTCAACTTTCCATTAAAATGCAAATGTAATGGTTTCATTAGGCAGCAACAATACCAACAGCCTTAAACCAAAGCGAGCCAGCGACAGCTTTGCCCGCCCCATCTCACCTTCCCCACACACAGCCTTCTCCCCGTGTGGGGTCACTTCGTGAGCAATATTTTTCTGGATTTGAATTTTGCACTGTAATTCCCGACTGGAGAAGGGAGAGTACAACGTGTGATTTGAGATTTTAAATCCACGCTTGGATTCCAGTCCCTAGACGGCAGACACAGACACAGTTCGCTCCGTTTGAAACAAACAACTGGGAAATCACACTTCAGTCACCCCGACCCAGGCGAGGCGGCGGGGAGCGGCAGCCCCGCCGGCGCCCGCGCCCGCGCCCGGTGCAGGCCGCGCTGTCCCGCGGCGGCCGCGGACTCCCGAGCACTTCCAGGGCCAGGAGGCCGAGCGCGCCGGCCGGCCGGCCGGCAGGGTCCCCGCGCGCCCGCGCCCCTTTGTGTCCCTGTCACTTCCCGGAGCACAAAGCCGGGCCGTGCGCCCGCCGGCGGCGAGGCCCAGGGGCGCCGGGCCGGGGCCGGGCCGGGCCGGACCGGACCTCCCCACCCGGGACCGCGGCCCGGCCGCCCGCCCCGCCCCGCCCCGGCCCGGCCCGCTCCGACCCGCTCGGCCCGCCCGCCGGCCGCCCGCCCGGCCGCTGCGCTCGCGGAGCCCCTGACAGCCCGCCCGGGCGGGGCGGACGGGGCGGACGGGGCGGCGCGGGGCGGCCGGGCCGGGGCGGGCCGAGCGGGGCGGCGGGGGCGAACCGGCCCGGGGGCGCAGCCGGGCCCGCGCCGTCCCCGCCCGGGCTCTGACCTGTCCCCGCGTCCAGCGCCGCTACCGAGGCCTGCGCGCAGCCATCTTGCTGCTCTGCGGCGTGACGTCGCCACGCGGGTCCGCACGCCGCCCGCCGCGCCTCCTGCCCGCCCGGCCCGGCCCGGCCGCCGCCTCCGCGCCCTGCCCGCCAGCCCGCCTGCCGCCCGGCCCGGCGCGGCCCTGGCTCCCCTCCCGGCTGGCCCGCGCCCTCCCCCAGCCCCCTCCTCCTCCCTCCCCTCCCCTCCCCCTCTCCTCCCCTCCCCTTCCCTCCTCCCCCTCCTCCTCCCTATTCCCCTCCTCCCCCTCCTCCTCCCTCTTCCCCTCCTCCTTCTCTCCCCACTTCTTCCCTCCTCGCCTCCTCCCCCTGTAGTGCTCTTTTTTTTTTTTCTGCAGTGCTCTTCTCAGCTTCTCTCCCCTCTGCTTCTTTCTCCCCTCCTCTCCCCTCCCCTCTGCTCCCCTTCTCTCCCTCCTTCCCTGGCAGCCCCCCACCTTCTCCCCTTTTTCTTCTTCCTTCCCTCTTCTCCTCTCCCCCCAGCTCCCTCCTCCTCCCCCTCCTGTACCTTCTCTCTCCCCCTCCCTCTGCAGCGCCCCCTACCTCCTCCTACCGCTCCTCAGCCCTCAGAAACCCTCTTCCCACTCCCTCCTCCTGCACTCCAACGCCTGCTGTGTGGACAGGGTGCAGCACCCCAGGGAGAGCAGGATTAGGCAGCTGGGGGACCCCCTGGACCAGGAGTCCACTGGCGGGAGAAGGTGAGCTGGAGCTGGGGCTGAGGTTGTGGGGCTATGGGTGTGGGTGCCACGTTCTCCTGGTCCCTAGCTGGCTTTCCCCGACCCTGGACCCACGACCTTGAATCTGCACCCTACCCACCTGCACACCTTGCAAGCCCCGCCCCGCGACCGGCCCACACCGCTTGTCCCCCAGGGCTAGGTCCCCAGCACCTGCATCCTTCCCCGCTGCAGTCACTGCTGCATCCCGCAGCCCTGGGAGCTGTTCACCAAGCTCGGCCACCTGTGCACCCCACCCCCACCCCGCCCGCCGGTGCTGCTTCTCTTTGGAATCCTCAGTGGGGCCGGAGGAAGTCCATGACTCAGGAAGGGTCCCTGGATACCCTGAGGACCCGAAGACTCATCTCTGCACAATGGAGTCCCCGGGACAGCCCTGATTGGTTCTGACATCTCCCTGGACAGCTGTCCTGTTCTTTGGTCCAGAGCTCTGCTTCTTTTCAGTGCTCCACTATCATCCACGTTTTATCTGTTTTCTCTTTTTCTTTGAAGATGAACTAAGCAAGGAAGTCCGACCGGATAAATTGCTGCAGGTGGTTTTGGGGAGACAGGCATCCCATCTTTCTAATGCTTTCCTAAACCACAGTTAAATTTTATGTGGGTGATTTGGGCATATCTTGTCTGGGCTCAGTGGTGGCTGGGCTCAGTCCTGTCCTGTACCAAACCCTGTCATTTCTTTAGGCCTTGAGCCCCATGTAGCCCCAGCTACTCTGGAGGCTGAGGCAGGAGGATCACTTAACTCAAGGCTTCAAGGACAGCCTGGGAAACAGAGAGACCTCCATCTCAAAGAAAATAAAAGTCATGTCTTTCCCTAGTGCTATGAAATGACCATATTTCCTCTCTGCCAAATGATTAAAGAAGCTCTTTTGAAGTGGCACATTGTTGCTAAGAAACAGCTTTAAAGTTACTCTATGAAACCTTGTTTCTTTTGAAACCATCAGCCTCCTCCTTTTGCACAGGCCTAACAAAAGCTGATCATTTTCCTCTAAACCATGTCCCTGGAACTTAACTTTCCATCTTTTTTGGCTGCCCACCAACGTGTCAACATAGTCCTGACCATTAATGAACATGAAAACCTAAACTGTCCCAAAGGTTCCCTCATGGTTCATTTCCAAGTCTAGGAAGCATAGTTCCTGCAGTGCGTTTCTGTCACGCACGGTTTGGCAGAGCTGCAGGAAGCTGGGCCTTTGGAGCTGGAGAGACAGGAGGAGTCGGTCTCCCCCCTGGCCCTAACCTGAGCATCAGTTTGTCCACCCATGAAACCTTGTATCTGGGCCAGGCGCCTCAAGGGTGAACCAGGGCAATGGGTGAGTGTTCAGCAGTGAACCGTCCACTTCCCCAACGGTTGCTGGATGGACTCTAGGAATCTATGAGTGATCAGGGCCTCTCTGCCCCCTACTCTATGGCAAATGACACATGCATGGCTATTGGCTATGAGGACCTGTGCTGGATGTGAGAATCCTTTATTTAAATCATAATTGGGAGTCTGACCTCTAAGGTCATCTTGTTTCACCTTGGAAAGGGTCCTGCACTGTAGCAGGAGCTTCCCATCTGGGTGCTTGCTGGTGGTCAGGCAGCAGGCCCTGAGCTGTCCCCTACAGCTTGGCCCCCATGCCCACCCTGTCCCTGACCCCAGGACCTACGGACATAGAACGAACCAGACAGTGTTTGTGGGCCACTGTGACTTTCCAGGAACAGAAGTGAGGTTCAGAGGTCCTCCGCAGGGGACGTCCCTCAGGTCCTGTCCTGTGGCATTTACAAAGCTGCTCTCCTACTTGTGACCCTGAGACCGAGGACCGGCGTGTCCGTGGCCTGCACACTCCATGGGGAACTCTGCTGCCCTTTGTTCATTGTACGTGGTCCCGGCTTCCCCACCCGAGGTGTGGATGGAGGATTCCTGTTCAAAAGACAATCAGCTGTTTTGACTGCCGTGAATGGTTATCAAATTCCTTACCACTTCTTTTTTCTTAAACTACGGAGAGCAGCACTGCCTCTGCACACAGAAGTCCTTGATTTTTTGTAAGAGAAAGTCCCCAAATTAGGTCCAGGTCACCTGGGTACGTAGCACCTGCTTGCAGGTCCCAGGGCCTCCGGGCTGCGCCTGGCCCAGCTGCCGTCCTTCGAGGAGTGGGCTGGGTTTGCTGCATGGCAGCTCGGGTTCTCCTCGATGGTACTGGACCAACTAGCACACAGCTGCGTTCCTAATTCCCTCCCCACCTGAAGGATAGAAAATGGATTTTTCTCTTTCACACAGAACGGTGGCACATACTTCTCTGGGATATCACGGTGGCTTCACGAAAACAGCAAGGCCCCGAGTTCCTTTCCTAGTATGGAAAAAAATACACAAAAATGAAACAAAAGTGATAAAATAAAATATGAACTTAAAGAAATCTCCAATAGATGACATGTAGACATAATCCTTACTGTTATAAACTAATATTGGTCACGAGGGCTATTGTTTTGTGCAGCCAGAGATACTCTGTGAAGCCACAATACTCTGAAGGCCTTGACATGGTCACTTTTCTTCATATGATTTCCACTTCATTGTTTTCTGACTGTATTTGATTGGCTAATTCAATTTAGGAACTGTTTGGTTGCTCCAGACATGGCCTCACTGTGCAGTTCAGGCTGGCCTTGAACCCACTAGGTTGCTTAGGCGTTCTCCTCCCATATAGCGATCTTCCTGCCTCAGCCTCCCCAGTGCTGGAAGTATAGGCCTGCACCACACACCTGGCCAGTTTGTATATGTCCAAGGAACAGACAGAACTGCTGATATCCTAATTCCCACATCCAGAGCTGTCCGATGTGCACTGAGTTAACGAGGACAAAGAAACACAAAAGTCTAAACCTGTTCATTTAGAAAGAGTGTCAGGATCCTTAGTGGGAAACCACTGTGGCTGTTCCTCCAGAAGCATTCAATCACCCGTCTCCCACAATGTGGGGAACACCATTTCTCCACGTAAACTCAGATTTCGGAGCCCACCAACCACCCTTTATTCTAATCCAAATTTGGCAACTCACTTAATAGCTGAGCTTCTGTTAAGGGAATCATTTCTCAGCTTTAATAATGAATGCACTTGTCTGGTAGTAATTTGCCATCGCCCCTCTCAGGAGGACTTCACAGCTCATAGCGCTTCACACGCACTGTCAGGACCACAAATGCACAGCGCTGACCTCTTCCCACGTGTGGGTGCGGGGACACCAGAATTCAGGGTTGTAGCACACGAGAGTCGTGCATGTGTGACTCTCACACCTCAGCTTGGCCAGTCAAAGCTCAGGGATTTTTACAAAACTATCCATGGAGGTTTTCCTGCTCATTCTCCCCCAACTGTTTGACATTATTGCCAGTTCTGAATGATGTGGGAATTTTCTGCTCAAAGTCACCCTCACTTTTTGTCGTCCTGTGATGTACCCTCATCCCCATCATCATCATTTTTGTGGGTAGGGTTGCACAGCTGAGTCCGAGAGGTGAGCACCTACCTGTATCTCAGTTGATCCCCTCTGAAGCGCCCATCCTTCCAGGCTGACTGTGTCACCATCTCCCAGGATGGCAGTGAGTGACACCCATGTCTGCCTGGTGACACAAGCATGTCTGTTGCAGCATGACATCAGCATCCCTGAGTCTTCTGTACACATTTATACTCTTTTTTTGTCTTTTTGAAACAGAGTCTCACTGTGCGGTTCAGGCTGGCCTTGAGCTTACTTTGTAGCTCAGGCTGGTCTCAAACTCGAAATCTTCCTGCCTCAGCCTCCTGAGTGCTGGGGTTACAGGTGTGAGCCACCACACCCAGCTTTACACATATATATTCTGTCTAAACCGCAATTTAACTTGTATCCCATGCTTTCTACCCTATTTCTTTAGGGGCCAATTTTTTGCTAAGTTTTGTTTGTTGAGACAGATTCTCACTGTGTAGTTCAGGCCTCTCACTCATCTGTCTCAGCCTCCCAGGTGGGATCATAGGCCTCCACCACCATGCCGAGTGGTTTCCAGTTTTGTGCTGGAAAGTCGGGGTGCCTGACCTCTTTAGAAGAATAGTTCCACTTGGGGAATAAAGAAATGCCATGCAAACCTTCTGTGGCAACTTCTTGGACGCCTGCCTGGCATGGTATCAGACTGTCCAGAAGGTGTGGTTCCGGTCACTCAGAGCCCATCGGCACTGAGCAGGGGCCCTGGCCTAGGGCAAGTGCCTCCTGAGCAGCTTGGGCCTCACCTTCCCATCTTGCGCTGGCTGCTACCCTCAGCACCCCAACCCCACACCCCTGCCTGACTCGCAGCAAGTAGGGGACCTTGCTCCTCCCACAAAAGTGGGAGGTTCCCAGAGAGACCTTGTGGCCTGGCTTTGTCTGGAGTCACAGATGCCCCTCCTCAACTTTGGCTAGTGCTGCCGGCCATGGAATAAGAACAGACAAGGATTCCTTCTCTGGCCCTGGCTGTCTTCTGCAGATTCTGATGAACTCAGCCAAAGAGAGAGCTGAGGTAGCAATCCCAGCCCTGAGAACCACTGCGCTGAATGACTGCGTGAGCATGAAAGAAAAGCATTCACTGTTTCCTGTGATCTCTGTACTGGGAAGGCCGAGGCAGGAGGGTCGCTGCAAGTTCAAAGCCAGTGTGAACCACATAGCAAGACTCAAGGAAACAAAAACAAACAAAACCCACCAGCATTTGCAGCTGTTATTAACAGTTGACTGGCCCAGTGTTACCATTCATAACCACCCTCTGGCAGGGAGCCATCACTGTGTGTCTGTGGTTTGGTGAAAGTTCAGACAAGAAATATTTTTGTCTAAACTTTTAAAACTGATCTGCTCCCTGCACCCCAGGGTGACTTTGCACCTAGAGATGGTGCAGAAGCAGAGTGTGGGGCGCCCCGGGCTCAGTCGTTTTGCAAAGCTGTGCACCACCAGCCTCTGTTGGATTCATTTTCTGTCATCCATGATGGTGTCGTCACGATCATCAGTCACAAAGTGTCCCTGAGCAGCACACGGCCCCGCCTGCCACTTGTCATCGAGTTCCCAGTGATTTTCACCCCCAGAGAATAAATTGCATCCACAGTGTAACCACAAACGGGGCTCCTGACCCAGGCTGAAGTTAGTGAAATGAAACACAGTCAAGGCGAATGGCAGAAATAAATCCCAAAGGAGCGGTTCATGGGGTCCCCGACTTTCACTTCTCTAAGGCCTCAGATCGCAGTTCAGACGGACGCAATGAGGAGCAGAGAATGAGGGCAAACATGTGCCTAGCATGGGTTGCGTCCCCACACCCTGGGTGAGGACGGTCTGGGGCATGCAGGCACCTTCGGGACCCCCTTACACCCTAAAATGTCCATTGGCACCATTTACTGGGCCAGGAACTGGGAGAGCCCTCTTTATATTTCACACCGAGGAAAAGGTAAAGTCAGGGTTCTTCTAGGGCAAGGAGGGCTGTCCAAAGTACAAACTACAGGAAATCAAAAATAGATATTCAAAGAGTTTAGAAAGAGGCTGGGGCTGGTAATGTGTACATGTAATCACAGCACTCTTGGAGGCTGAGGCAGAAGCTACCAGATCAAATTGGATTCCCTCCTGGACAGCTTAGTGAATTTAAGAGACCCTATCTAAAAAAAAAAAAAAATCATAAAAATATACTTAAAACAGTGAGTGTTAACCTTGGTCTGCTCTGAGTATGCAGGCACCAGGGCTCTAGACCCTGCCTAATAATCTACTGGAAGGCTTGACCTTTGTGTTTGTTAGCTTGCTTAATTTGAGACAAGATCTGGCTGCGTAGCCCTTGCTTGTCTTGGACTTGGGGTCCTGAGTGCTGAGGTTGGAGACTGTTTTCTTTAGGGGAGGAGGAGGTAGAAGATGAGGATGAAGAGGTGACCAAATAATCAAACAAAGACAAAGACTCGAGTTTCAAAAACAAACAAACAGAAAAACCCCACAGCTTTTTAAAGCATCAGAAACTCACTGAAAATTCCCCTTTTCTTGATGAAGTGTGGAAGGCTGGAGTTGGATAGATTTAGTACTCTCGTTTCCAATTCACAGATTTTCTAATGAAACCCAAACTCAGAATGAAAGCAGGTGTGCCAGCCTGCGTAGAGGAAAGCTTTCCTCTGCCTCTTGGGAGGGGTGAGACTCCGCCCAGAGGGGCGCTCAGCCAGCAGGCACACTCATCTCGGATTCATTTCTCCCTTCCTCCCCTGTATTCACTTTATTTTTTTTTTTGTGCTGGGATTGGAACTCGGGGCCTTCACACTGAGCTCTGCCCCCAGCGCTTTTTTATTTTGGAACTGGGCTTCACTAAGTTGTTATATTATCCCGGTAGGGCTCAAACCTTCAGTCCTCCTGCCTCAGCCCCCCAGAGCGCAGGGGTCACAGGCATGCACCACCATCCCCAGCTGTGCTTTCTCACTAAGCTACATCCCCACCGTCTGCATCTTTAGAGAGGAAAGTGCACGTGGAGTAAACTCACTGCAGTATGTGACGGTTTGGAAACAACACCTCTTCTACTTCTGAATTCCTGGAGACCCTGAGCAGCAGCTACGGGGAAAGTGTGGTCACTCTGAAGTCTCAGAAGCCTGATGCGGGTGGGAGGCTGGCCCTCAGGGTAGCACATGTGTTGCTGGTGGGCTCCGGCCTGGGTCCGTCCGTCTCAGCAGCACAGGCGGTGGTGGTGGTGCCTTGGAGGGACGAGGGAAATAGTTCAAGTGATTGCTCACTCTTTATTTATTTTTTTAGTTTGTCTATTTGAAGCAAGGCCTCACTGTGTAGATCAGGCTGGCCTTGAATTCATAGTGATCCTCCTGCTTCAGCCTCCCAATACTCCCCCTTACAATGCTGGGATTCCAGGTGTGGCCACCACTCCCAGCATGTATGAATCTTTCAAAGAGCGAACTAAGAGAGCCATGTGGGAGACCCCAGGGAGGCTGCGGGTACAGGAAGGGGCCTGGGGATGAAGGAGGAGGGCGGTGGGGGGCAGCAAAGTGACCCGAAGACAGCTGCGTGCGTGCGTGCGTGCGTGCCTGTGTGTGTGTGTGTGTGTGTGTGTGTGTGTGTGTGTGTGAGCGTGTGTGCAGCAGCTTCCCAAGGGGACGGGGTCCTGATGGCAGACGCACTCCAGTAACAAAAACGGAGAAGTAACCGGGAGCGAGGGGCCCGGCCTCGGGGACCTGCGACACTCAGAAGGGGAAGGCGACAGCCTCACACAGTGACCCCCAGGGGCAGACATTGAGTGGCTGTTTCCAGATGTGAGATGTGGCTGCAGAGGTCTGGGAAGGGAAGATGGGCCTCTGGTTAGGGCTCTGCACAGGGTACAAGACGCAACACGTCTTCCCTCAGGAGGCTGAGGCAGGGGTAGCGCCTGGAGTTCAAAGCCAGCCTGGTCTGCATTGGGAGATCCTGTCTCAGTAAACAAAACACCAAAAGATAGACAGAGGCTGAGCAGTACAGATATGTTGTCTAAAATCTCTTCTTTAGTGTCTACTCGCTGATGTGCTACATAGATCTCTATCAATGTGTGTTTTTATGGGTGAAGTGGCTGCAGATTGGCTTCATGCCCCCAAGAACACCCCATGCCTGGGCACCCTGGCTAGATGGGACCTGGGGGTGACCCGCTGGGCTCAGACCTGGAACTGGAGGCCACAGAGTGGGCAGCGATGCCTGGGGTACTGGGGTGCGGGTGAGCACAGAGCCCAGATCCCTTCCGAGGTGGGTCTGCGTTGGAAGAGGAGGAGGAAGGGGCAGGGCTCCGTCCACACCTCAGAGAGGCCCAGGGTCAGCAGGAGTCCCTGAGCCCTGGCCTCCACCCTCCCTGAGGAGGCCCTGGAGCCCACCCTGGCCATGCCTGCCAAGCAGGTCACCAGGAGCGAGGAAGCCCTGTGACCACGCACAGAGATGGTGGCCGAGACCCACGGCAGCACAAACACAGCACCCGAGGCTGGACGTGAGCCCTATCCCAGAGTGGGAGTGGAGGCACTCAGGAGCCCGAGGCAAGGAGGGTCGTCGTTGAGTTCCAGGCCCACCTGGGATAGTGAGTCCAAGACCAGCATAAAACCCACAGCGGAACCCTGCCTCAGAAACCAAAGCAAACACCAAAAAAGAATTATACAAGCATTCCTAGAATCAAAGGCTTATATAAGTATAACTAGAAAAATAACTACCAATCAACTGTCAAATTTGTTGACAACCTGCTGTGACTCTAGAGCTAAATGGAAATGGAACACTATTATCTACTTTTCATTGCAAAGGGGAAATTGGGAATTCAGTGTTCACACAAGAATACTCAACTGTGTCTTACCACCAGAAGAGACACCTCTGTCACAGTGTGTTCCACATGGAAGACTTGGAGGAAAGATTGGAGGAAAGATTTTGAGAAAAATGAGTAATTTATAGTGATTTTGTGTGTCTTTTGAAATATTTTTTTCCTTTCTTTCTTTTTATTTTTTATTTTGAGCCAGGATCTTATTTCAAAGTGGCCTCAAACTCACGGTGATCCTCCTGCCTCAGCCTCTTGAGTGCTGGATGACTGGTGTGCCCCACCACGTCCCGCCCTGAAAATAAATTATTGTTATTTTTTCTTTGAGACAGGACCTCATTATCTACTGCAGCCTGGCCTTAAGGCTGGCCTTGAAGTCACAGTGATCCTTCTGTCTCAGCCTCCTGAGTGCTGGGATTACAAGCTTGTACCATTAAACCCATCTGAAATAAATTCTAATACAATTTTTTGTACCTTGAAAGTAAGCATGGTTATAAGTAGCATCTTTCCACATTATCTTGTAACTAGCTCTCCAGATTTGGAAATGTTGCCGGATTTCTTTAGGCAGATTCTTACACACAACACTCTTAAATGTAACATGTGTAAGCGCACGGCTGTATTGATTTTTAAACTTCTGTTGGCCCCTGCTTGCAGGACACGGTGGCTACACTCACTGCAGGGGACTGGTACACGCACCTCAGTTCTCTCCCCCAACCCCTTTTGTTAGCCCAGCATCAGATTCATTTACCCTGTAAGACTTTGTGAAGTTAATTATCATGTATACAGATTAAAAACCAGATTAGTGAGCCCAAGACCTATAAAACACGTAAGGCCATTGTACTTAGTGCGCTTTAGGATACACTGTCTGAGCTGTGTCACAATACTGTTCCTGGTTTCCTAATTTCTCTTTTATTTCTTATATGTGTTAAGTTTTTCATGTAAGAAAAACCATGCAAATGTACTGTTTTTCTAGAATCATTGGGGGGGGGGGTATTCCCAGCTCAATTCATAGCAGAAAACCAGGCCTTCGGGGCAGCCTGGGCTACCTGTGCCCAGCAGGACTCCGGTGCAGGGACAGCGCCCAGGCCGGACCAGCTCGGCCTCCAGAGCCGCTCTGCAGCGCTGCAGCCTGGCTGCCCCCGGATTCCGGCGATCCGCACCGCGCTGGGCCCTGCGGAGCGCAGTCCTCTTATGTGAGGGGAAAGGGTCTCATCACTTCGGGTGAGGCTAGCCCCGAACCCCAATTTCGTCGCCTGTGCTATGAACGACTTCTCTACCAAGAAGAGCACGAGGGAAGGCAATGATTTTGTGAAAGCGCCTGGTTTCCTTAGAGCAGAGGGAAGCATCGGATTTTCTGCCCCATCCGCACAGGGCACGGGAAGGCGGGGTCATGGAGCGGCAGGGAGCCGGCCAGTCCCAGGCCAGGAAGGTCTGCAGAGGGACAGCTCAGACCTCCCTCCCGCCACAAAAGGCCGCGTGTTCACTCCCGTCCGGGACCACTGCGTAGGAGGAGTCCACGCCTAACTCCTCCTACAACCCGTGCACAGTTCTCTGCATCCGGTTAAAGTTCAGACCCAAGTGTGGTGGCCCAGGCCTGTGACCCCAGCACTCTGGGAGGCTGAGGCAGGAGACAAGCAAGTTTCAGCCCGGCTTGGATAATTTGGTGATTTAGTGAGACCCTGACTTAAAATAAAAACTGAAAAAGAAAATCTGAAGAGGTAGCTCATTGTGAAAGCTCTGATTTCACACTCTAACAAAATAAAACAACAAACACCCCCCCCCCAAAAAAAAAAAAACACAAAACAAAAGAAACCAATCACTGCACCTTTCAGGTTCTTTCAATTTTTAAAAATGGTCTCCCCAATACTCAGGATTATAGGTGAGCACCACGTGCCTAGCTGGTAACTAACCTTCCTTCCATCCTTCCTTTCTTCCCTGTGCCTTCTTGATCCTTTTTTTTTTTTTTTTTCCTTTTGGTCTTTTTTCTTTTTATCGGTACCAGGGATCGAACTCAAGACTGCCTGCTTGTAAGGCAGGCGCTTATGCCGCTGAGCTAAATCTCCAGCCCCTGCATTCTTGATCTTTCTGTCACATTTATTCTAATCACAGTGAAAACCACAGAAAGGTTTACGTGAACAAGGAACATTCTCACGTTTTCTATAAGCGCCTCATTCCCTCAGCACCCTTTTAAAGATGCACGCTCGCTCATTTCTGTGGTAAGGACCCTTCCCCTGTGTCTCCGGGAGTGTCCTGCGGGGCATCACACAGCAATCAGTCTTCGGTGCCAGTCTGCCTGAGAAGAACCTTTGCCTCCGAGGTCCGTCCACTGAATTTGTTTGTATTGCTTGCGTACCGGGACACTCTACTGGAGATAGTTTTCCAAAGTGTATAAAAACTCCAAATATTGCAGAGAAAATGTTAGGGAGCCATCAGTTTTCTGATTCAACAGTCTGACTCAAATGAAATTCTTTTTAATGGATAGGAGAGAGACTTTCCCTGTTTTAAACTGTATTTATGCTCCCTGGTATGTAGATGTCTGACTCACAGTGGTGACCAGCGCAGCGGGAGCTCGTGCCCGCACACCAAGTATCTTGAGCATTTTTACTTCCTCTCCTGCCCTGCCCTCGCCTCCTGGGCTTCAGGTGGTGTGAAGACTGAAGACAAGGAAGCTTTTCTCTCACCTGAGACGTGTGTACGCTCTATCTAGATGTTGAAATTCATTGATGGAAGAGTCTAATTTTTGATTGTTTATTTGTTTTTTCTGTCTTTTTGAGACAGGGTCTCACTATGCAGTTTAAGCTGGCCTCAAACTCACAGTGACCCTCCTGCCTCAGCCTCCTGAGTGCTGGGATTGCAGAAGTGCACCAACCAAGAGGCCATTTTCTGTGACTCAGCCCCTGGGCGATTTCTCTGTTCTCTGCACAGAGACCAGTTGCCTCTGTATTGGAGATAACTGCTATCCCATGCTGGGAATTCCTCAGGAAGACTCCTGTAGGTAACGCTGGTCCCCAAACTAGAGGCTTCGGGAAGCGCACAGCTTACAGTATGTTGGTTGGGTGAGGTGCGAGTGTGGCATCTCCCGGAAGGCGGAATCCGAGGGCCTCTCCAAGCTCCTGCCTGGACTTCCTCTTGCTTGGTGGTGACTTCCTCCCTGGCCCACCCACGATCTTCCTTCCTCTCTTCCCCCAGGCGCTGGACACTCAGCCCAGGGCTGTGCCAATGATGCATGCTCTGGGGGACATCGGGCCACTTGCCCTGTGATGCTGCTCTTCAGGCCTCCCACGGGTCCTGCAGGGCTGAGGCATTCTGTTTTTTCCACACCTAGCTTCAGAGTTGCATTGCTTTCTTTTCTTCTCTCTCCCCCTCTTTCTCTTCGTGGTGCTATCAATTGAATGGAAGTGTTTTCCACTGAGCTACACCCTAATC